ATTTGGGGCTCATTGATCGGGGAGCCATTGTAGTAGTGTGTCTGGTCCAGGCTGAGGGGTGGTGGTCAGGGATGGCAACTGTGTTTTGCACGGAGGCTTGTGAAGACTGAACCCTTGTAGACGCAGGGTCCCTGGCTGGTGGGTGGGTTTGATGGCTGTGGGACCAGACCTAATAATGATCAAGTTCACATTCTCCGTTAAGACTTCAAGTCCAAGCCCATCCTTCATGACTAATTTTCCAATCCGTTGTGACTCCCCACTCCACCCTATCCTCTTGAACCAGAGGAAGTGAAAGATTTTGGGAGATGAACATGTCAGTTTATCTACAATTAACAGGCTTTCTGTTTGAGATGCGATGTTTATCCTTCCTCCCGTTTTACTGCGTACTGAATATTTTCTTTTGGGTCCTCTATATGAGTACGTAATGATTGCTGTTTTCCCAATATTTATATTTTTGAAATTTTTAGAACATTTGTATTTAGAGCTTATCTTTACAGTAATAAAAGGTTTTAAGGCTATAAGCTTACGCTAATGATTTGACAGGAACAATTATATTTTAAATGGCATTTTGAATTTTTTTTTTTCCAATTCAGGATATAGTATAGCTTATGAAAACATGATGAAGAAAGTAAAAATGTCCTGTAATCACCTTTAACATTTTGTTGTTGATCTTTGTGTGTGTATGGGTAGGGGGGGAATAACAAAACTAGGCATTTCATTTTCAGGAAGAAAAACAGACTTCTGCTAACATTGTTGTTTACCTGCAGGACATCAATTCAAACATTCTATTTTTCTAACAGAATCTCCATCTTGCTGAATCTCCATCTTGCTAAATATCCAAGGTGACCCTTCTCCCAGTATATCAGTAAGGTGCAGTGCAGTAAATTAATATGGCCCTTCTAGCCATAGTCTTTGTAGCTCTCACCAAATGACTGGGTTGGACATTGCAAGTGAGGTGCTTGTGGCCCATCAAAGGGGACTGGATAGCTTGCTAATAATGTGAACAAGGAGCATGGCACCTTTGTGGGGTGGTACCATGCAAATAAGGTATATGGAACCCTAACAAGGGTGTTGGTCAGTTTTGCCTTCTCCCTAGGCTTAAAATGAGATATCCTGGAGGCCCAGAGGGCCTCTCTCTGGCCCTTGGCCCCTTGGCCCCGCCTCTGCCCTGCTCAGACAAGTGTTAAAAAATCTTTTAGCTCTGCTGGTGGTAGCATAGTGCCTAAGGCATTTGACTGCCAACCAGAAGGCTGGCGATTCAAACCCACCAGCCACTCCTCGGAAGGAAGACTGGGCAATCTACTTCCATAGAGATACCACCTCCGAAACCAAGGAGGGGCCGCTGTGAGTTGAATCGACTCGGTGGCAGTGAGTGAGGTTTGGGTTTGGTAAGCGTCGGAGGCAGCCCTCTCCACCAGTAAGCCTTGGCCCAAAGGCACTCAGCTCTAGCTTCACGGGTTGGCACAGCTAGCACCACCAAGTGCCCAGAGACATCCTGCTGCACTAGCAGGCCTCTTGTGTGAACGGACGCAGTTGACTTGCTTCTTAGGCTGGGAAGCTCCCTGCACCTTCTGCCATTCTCCTCCTGCCACCAGTTCTCTGACACTGCTCTTCACTGTTTCCACTGTTACAGCTCTCTCTCTGTGTCCCGGCTTGAGGAGTTCTCAGAGCAGGGATGTCAGGTTCAAAGACCATGTTGTACTGCTGTCTCTTCTTTCTTGGTAGTGATGAGAACCCCTGTGCTCTGGGATTAGCTGACCGTGTGTGTGTGTGTGTGTGTGTGTGTGATTTGGGTGAAAATTTACAGGGCAAATTCATTTTCCATACAGCAGTTCTTACATGTTTTGTTTCATGCAGTTCCCCACAATGGAACAGTTCTTTTCCCACTTCATCCCTGTAGTTAGCTCTTCCTTGTGTCCTTTTCTGTACATTCCTGGCCCCTGAGCTGTCTCCCTGTGCAAATACAGCTCTTCTGTTCTCCCATGATTGATCATTCCCAGGAGTGTATCTACCTGATGTAAATGTTCACCCTATACGCCTGTCTCTTGTTTGACTGGAATCAGTGGGAGTGAGTTCAATTTCCAGACCTGAAGGGTAACCAGGGGCCATAGTCTTGGGGGTCTCACCAGGCTCTATCAGACTAGTAAACCTGGTCTTTTTTTTTTTTTTTATGATTTTAAATTTTATTCCATACTCTATTCCAGGATTCTATTCCATTATATCCAGGATCTACTGTGCTGATTCCTTTCTGAGTGGTTGACAGTGGTAGCCAGGCACCATCTAGTTCTTCTGGTCTCATGGTCATATAGGCTGAGGTTTGCATAGCCCACTAGTCCCCTGGACGGATTGTTTCCATGAGTCTTTCATTTTCTTCATTACTCTTTGCTCTGGATGAGGAGAGACCCATTGTTGGATCTAGATAGCGACTTGCAAGCTTTTAAGACCCCAGTTGCTATTTACCAAAGTAGGATGTAGAACAATGTTTTTGTGTAGTATGTTATGGATTGGCTTACTTTTAAACCTAGCAGGATGCAAAACTGACCAAGCCCCTCATTAGGGTTCCATATACCTTGTTTACATGGTGCTATCCCCATAAGGGTGCCATGCACCTTATTTGCGTTATTAGAAAACTATCCAATCCTCTTGGTGGAGCACAGCACCTCATTTGCATACTCTCACCCACGTATTTGGTGTGAGTGAACAAAGATGATATTTGTTGTTGCGACCCCTCCTTGGGTTTCCCAGGTAGTATCACTACGGAAGTAGGATTGCCTAACCTTCCTTCCGAGGAGTGGCTGGTGGGTTTGAACCGCCAGCCTTCTGGTTAGCAGTCAAGTGCCTTAGCCACTATGCTACCAGAGGTTTTGGTTATGATGTTTTAATCTTTGTTTTTGGGTGACATTGGCTCATGGTTTTCTTTTCATAGGGTCACTGAGTAGTTAACCACTTGACTGCTAACCGAAAAGTTAGTGGTTTTGAACCTACTAGCTACTTCATGGGACAAAGATGTGGATGTCTACTTCCATAAATATTTGTTGTTGTTGTTGTTATGTGCCGTCAAGTCAGCCCTGACTCGTAGCGACCCCTCCTTGGGTTTCTGAGGCAGTATCACTACGGAAGTAGGATTACCCAACCTTCCTTCCGAGGAGTGGCTGGTGGGTTTGAACCGCCAGCTGTCTGGTTAGCAGGCAAGTGTCTTAGCCACTACGCTACCAGAGCTCCCTCCATAAATATTTACAGCCTTGGAAATCCTGTGGGTCAGTTCTACTCTGTCTTTTAGAGTCACTATGAGTTGGGTTTGACTTGAAGGCAGTGGTTTTGTGTAAAAATTGTGTGATGGTAGCAGTATCTGACCTCCTCTAACTTCCTGTGGGGGTGGAGAAAGAATCACCCTCAACATCAGCCCAAAGCTGATCCCGGTGAAGTGGAGGTCAAACATACTTTCTCTCTCCAACCTTTTAACCAATTCTGACATCAGCTGTCTCTCCCAGGGTTTGATAATTCCTCACAATGGTGACACAGAACTCACAGACAATACTCATGATTATAAGGTTTATTAGGGAAGTAACAGGTTATAATTCAGAATCAAGAATGACTGAGCATACAGTTCTTGGGCTGGCCTGGCCTCTTGGCAAATGTTACAAAGCTTTTTAGCTCCACCAGTAAGTCCTTGAGGTACCTCATTCTGCCAGCAAGCCTCCTACACAAAGGAGCTCACCTTCTCACTTCATGAGTCATGAAGCCCACCACGCCGTCCCCTGCTGGTCTCATAGTTCTGCTGCTACTGGTTCTTTCCTGCCGTTGTCACAGCTTCTTGCCAACTTGTGCCATCTCCAGTGCTAGAGCTCTCTGTCTCTTGGGTCTAGGAGGTTCTTAGCATAGGGACCTCAGGTCCAAAGGATGCACTCTATACTACAGTCCCCCTTTCCTCCTCTGGAATGGCTCATTTTAAGCCGAGCAGGATGGCAAAAGTGACCAATCCCCCCGTTAAGGTTCTTTGTTTGAGTCATTTGGTGGGAGTGAGAAGATGGTGGCTACAAAAGCCACATAAAAGCAATTCCATCACACTGTAGTTTGGTGTCTTTTCATGTATTGTCATTGATTAAATTTCAGTGTGAGGTTATGTTGATCTTATAAAACAAATAGTTTTTTCCCTAATTTTTTAGTCTCTTGGAAAGTTTGTATAACATATGGTGCTGTAATCTCTTTCAATGTTTGGTGGAATGATCTGATGTGGCCAGTGGAGCCTGTGTTTGCATTGTGTGAAGGTTTTGAAAGGTTTTATTTTTCCAAAATTTTTAAACTTTCATGTAAACTTCCAGATTTATTAGCACAAAGTTGTTTATGATATCCTAATCATCTCTTTCTACTTTGGAGCTTTTGCATTATTGTCTATTTTGTTGTCCCTCTATTAGGTTGTTTTTAACTGTGCTGTTTAATTTTTCTTATTCAAACTTCCCACCAATTTGCTTTTTTTTTTTTTGCATTTCCCAGAAAAATCAACTTTTGTCTTTTTTGGTCCTCTCTCTGTTGCTCATTTCTTTGTTTCCAGTTTCATTGATTTCTGTACTTTTATCATTCCCTTTCTGGTATATAATGATTAGTATTTAACCACTTAAACATCTTCTAGTTATTTTTGTTATTGTTTTCTGGATGAATTACCATGTGGTCAGAGAATATATTATATATGACTTCTTTTTTTGAAATCTTATTATTATTTTTTTTTAAACAGTACAGCGTATTATTAGTAGTTGGAAATGTTACATGTGCTAGCTGAGAACATATTTTCTGGTGAGTCTAGTGTGTTATATATGCCTGTACAGTCAAGTTTACACATTGTGCTGTTCAAATCTTTTCTCAGAGACCTGAGTGATGTGTTTGTATTCCAGAAGCTAGATCTTCATTTCTGGGAAAATTTCCAACCAGAAATTTGGAGCAGATCCAGAAGATACGAAGACAAAGTATTAGAGTTGTTGGCGGCCATTTCTCAAAACAAGAAAATGATCCATGCTCAGGTGATTTTTGGTTTGTCTTAGTCTTTCCTTTATTGCTGCATGGATTTATTTTTGTTGTTGTGTGCTGTGGATCAATTTACACTCATAGCAACCCTGTAGGACAGAGTAGAACTGGCCCATAGGGTTTCCTAGGCTGTAATCATTATGGAAGCAAATCTCCAGGTCATTTCTGCCATGGAGCCTCTGATGGGTTTGAACTGCCAACCTTTTCGTTGGCAGCTGAGTGCTTAAACATTGTATCACCTGGGTAGAGGCCTGTACAAAATCAGTTTAGGATCTGGAAAGAAACAAACAAACTTTAACTTCAGCATTAGGGCAGAATAGGATCTGGAATATATTGTTCATATGATTCCTGCTCCATGACTAATGTTGGGACATAGTGACTGGAGGATCCCGTGGGCCACAGCAGTCAGCACATATCTGGTATTTCTGACGGCCACCATGATAGAGAATCATGGGAAGTTCTGTGACGTGCAGTGAATGTGAGGAGAAAGCAGACAGGTTCCTCAGATGTCGGTACTTCATGACACTCACATCTCAGAAACAATTCAATAGTCCTTCCTGGATGTAATGGGATGGATGATGTTTTTGATCAATAGCTTAGTAAAGGCCAAAGCAGATTTCCTTTGACTGTTTATTATGATACCTCAAAGACCCCATGGAAATAGACCAAGCAAATTCAAGGGACACACTTTTTCAGGAGACTAATGCAAGGTCACTCTTGTGCCCAGCCTTGTAACTAATCTAGGTTTATATTTAGAAGTAACACCTAAATGGCTGAGGAAAATAGAAGGATTGCATGGCTTTCAAGTGGTCCTCTGTGAACAGATAGCTGAACTGGTGTGTTAATACAGATTTGGCAGGAGGGAGTGAGGGAAATGGTAAAAGGGAAGGGCTTGAATTGTGAGGCTCTGTAGTATTTGCTTTATACCTTCACCTCAGAAAATGCAGAAGCCTTCTCCATTTCACATTCCAATTCTGACATCCTTCCTCTGTTCTCTTCTCCAATTCTGACACCACTGGTCACTTCCACAGCTTTCTCTACAGCTCTTGACAATTTGTTGCAATGCCCACACAGAACTCACAGACAATAGTCAATGACTATGGGGCCTATTAGGGAAGCAACAGGTAACAATTCAGGAGCAGGCTCTTTTGCTCTGTGGATCAGCATGCTCACTGGAGGTGTCCCACTCCGTGGGCTGGGAAGCTCACTGTGCCATCTCCAACTGGTCTCCACATTCTGCTACTGCCATTTCTCTGCTTTTTGTCATGTCATGCCATCAGGGGTTACATCTCCGCCTGTCTCCTGGGTCTGGGAGGTTCTTGGTGCAGGGACATCATGTCTAAAGGACACACTTCACTCTTGGGTATTCTTTCTTGGTGGTAGTGAGGTCCCCTCACTGGGGATTGGCTCTTTTGAAGCCTAGCAGGATTGCAAAACTGACCAATCCCCATTTTAGGGTTCCGTACACTTACTTGCATGGCCCCACCCCCACAAACTGCCATGCATCTTATTTGTGTTAGCAGCAAGCTATCCAATCTCTTTGGTGGGCCACAAGCTCCTTATTTGCATAGTTTCAACCAATCATGTAGTCATAAGACCATGGCAAGAAAGGCTATATAAAAGTAATTCATTGCACTGAACATGTTTATCAATAAAAGTGAAACATTTTTACTGAATAAGTCTATGTTATTAGAGGAATGGAGTCCTGGTGGTGCAGTAGTTAAAGTGCTTGGCTGCTAATCAGAAGGTTGGCAGTTTGAAACCCACCAGCCACTCTGCAGGAGAAAGATGTGGCACTGTGCTTCTGTAAATGTTTATAGCCTTGGAAAACCTAGGAGAGCCCTGGTGGCATAGTGGTTAATGAGCTCAGCTGCTAACTGCAAGTTTGGCAGTTTGAACCCCCCAGCTGCTCCAGAGAACACAGATGTGGCAGTCTGCTTCTGTAGGGATGAACTGCCTTGGAAATAGGGCACTTCTACTCTGTCCTGTAGGGTCACTATGAGTCAGAATCGACTCAATGGCAGTGGGTTTGGTGTTGGAGGAGCCCTGGTGGTCCAGTGGTTAGATGCTTGGCTGCTAACTGAGAAGTTTGCATTTCAAACTTACCACCCATTTCATGGGACAAAGATTTGACAGTTTGCTTCTGTAAAATTTCATAGCATAGGAAACCCTATACGGCAGTTCTACTCTTCCCTACAGGGTTGCTATAAGTAGGAAGCCACTCAACAGCAGTGAGGTCTTGTTTTGGTTTATTACAGGAATTGCTGACATTTGATGATGTAGCCATAAAGTTCACCTGGGAAGAGTGGCAGCTACTAGACCCTGCTCAGAAAGACCTATACCAGGATGTGATGTTGGAGAACTATAGCAACCTGGTGTCCATTGGTGAGGACAGCTCCCCCTTGTCATTCAGAGGGTGCTCAGTCAGTGGGCTTTCCTTCTGTGTTGCTTACCCTTCGAAGTCACTGCAGTGCTCTGAAGTGATGGATTTGTAGATCCTTCTTTGTCTCCAGATAAGAGTATTGATAAGGGCCTTCTCCTGAGAGAAAAGAAAGTCTTCATGCATGTGAAAACTGTTAAAGTATAATATTTTTCCATCTCAACATACCCTAACCCAATTCACTGTGTCTTTTAAGTCTTTTGTCACTTTCCATGAACAGGGCATCAATCTGACAATCCAGATACACATTCCGCGTTGGAACGAGGAGAAGTCCTGTGGACCATAGAAGATGAAATCCACAGTCAGATCTACCCAGGTGAGTGAGTGGGAACCAGCAAGGGGGATGGCCAAGTTACTCACAACAGGTGTCACACTGGGCAGATATATGAGGAGTCTTTATGTATCCCTCTCCTTGTATCAGAATTACTTCATTTTCAGGTCTTTGGAGGAAAATGTTATTGTTTGTTCCATCTAGTCGATTCTGACTCATAGTGACCACGTGTGTGCAGAGTAGGATTGCTCCATAGGGTTTACAAGGCTGTAACCTTTCAGAAGCAGATGACCAGGCTTATTTTTCGAGGCACTTCTGGGTGGTTCAGACTGCCAACATTTTAGTTAGCAGCTGAGTACGTAACCATTGCCTCACTAGGGCTCCTTTAAAAACAGATGACTGTGTTTACATTAGGAGAGAGCAGGTGGTAAGACATGAACTTCCAGGAGGTACTGCTGTGCTTCAGAGACAGGGTTTCAAGAAAAAGCCATACATGTTGCCTACAGCTGCTGATTGATCAACAAAGAGAGGAACTGAGGGACATGCATGTAAGTCTGGTATGCTTGTTCCATTCAGACAATATATATTTGTGGTGCAGTGAATTACCTGGTATGGCTTTTCTAGCCATGGTTTTTGTAACTCCCACCAGGTTACTGGGTGGGACCATGCAAATAAGATGTGTAAAACTCTGATGTTGGGATTGGTTAGTTTTGTTACTCTGCCAGGCTTGAAAATGACCCTTCCTAGGGGCAGAGAAGGGGATCTCTGCCGTCAAAAGAGAAGAGCTGGTGGTGAAATGGAGCGTGTCCTTGGACCCAAGATCCCTGTGGTAGACCTCCTTGGCTGAGAGATGCCTGGCTAAGAGACAGCCACAGTGGAACCAAGAGACAGAGTGGTGGGATTTATGGCCCATGGAGCGAGAAAGCTGAGTGCCTTTGGGCAGGAGGCTTGCTGATGGAGTGGGGTGCATCTAGGTGTACCTATTGGCAGAGCTAAAAGAGCTTAGTAACACTTGCATGAGCAAAGCAGAGGCCAGGCCAAGAGAGGCTTGTCTATGGGCACAGCAGAGGAGAGACACTCCTCATAGAAAAATTGTATCCTGAGTGCATTCCTGAACCTGACTTGTAGCCTATTACTTCCCTAGTAAACCTCATAATCGTGATTATTGTCTGTGAGTTCTGTGTGGACATTGCAATGAATTATTGAACCCAGCAGAGAAGTAGTAAGTACCATGGGAGGGATGATTTGTGTCAGAAATGGTAAAAAGGCTGGAAGGTACTGGTGTATTTGACCTTATAGGAGTAAGTCTTGAGCTTCTGATGGTGACTTTGTTGTACTCTTGTGAGATCAGAGGAGGTCAGAAGATGCTGCCCCAAGTTTTTTTTAACATTTTTATCTCTTTGAATTCTCTTTTTATGAAATAGTTCTCACGACTCCAGAATATATTAGATTCTTCCTTGTCTGAAATCCCACTCTACTTTTTGCCCTGCCAAAGGGGGGAGGGGCAGCATCTTCTGACCTCCTCTAACTTCATAAGAGGGAGACAGAATCACCATCACCAGCCCAAGGCTTATTCATATGAGGCCAGACATGCCGCCATCCTCCAGCCTTTTTATCAATTCTGACACCAACTGTCCCTCCCACCTCACTCACTACTTCTCTGCTGGGTTCAATATTTCATTGCAATGGCCACATGGAACTCACAGACAATACAGTTATGGGGTTTATTAGGGAAGTAAAAGGCTACAATTCAGGTTCAGGAATGCCCTCAGGATACAGTTCTTCCATCAGGACTGTCTCCTCTCTGCTGTGCCCTTAGGCACACCTCTCTGGCTGTTGGCCTCTCGGCCTGGCCCCTGCCCGGGTTGGGCAAGTGTAACAAAGAAGCTCTTTTAGCTCTGCTGTAAGTACATCTAGGTATACCCCACTCTATCAGCAAGGCTCCTGCTAAAAGGCACTCTTTTTTCTTGCTCTGTGGGCCAGGCAAGCCTGTTGCTCTGTCTTGTACCTCTTGGTTCCACTACTGCCATCTCTTGGCCAGGCGTTGCTGCCGTCTCTCTGTGAAGGAGGTCCAGGGGAGGGATCTTGGGTCCAAGGATGCATTCCACTCCAACTCCAGCTCTTGTCTCTTTGAGGGCAGTGAGATCTCCCCGCCCCCCTTCTGAGAGGCAGAATTTTAAGCCTAGCAGAATGACAAAACTAACCAATCCCAGCATTAGTGTTCCATACACCTTATTTGCATATTCCCACAAGTAATCTGGTCACAAAGACCAAGGCTAGAAAAGCTATACCAAGTAATTCACTGCATCACAGCCCCTAACATTGAAACCTGGTCCTGAAAATACTTTATCATTATTCATTGTTGGAGGCTGAGCCATCTTGATACCCTGGATTGAAGAGTCCATTTGCCATCCTTCCTTGTGCTATCTCTAGTGAAAACCTCTGTCAACATCCATACGTCCGACTAGATTCTGGGTCTGTATTACATACTTAGTAACCATCTCAAAGTTCATGTTTCACAGTGCATACTTGCTTTCTACACTTGATTTCTAATCTCATTATAAGATGCTGCTTCTTACCCAGTTATTTAAGCCATGTAGTTAGCAGAGAAATCATTGATTCCTCACTTTTATTAAAAACCCCGCCTCTCTGAGCACCTGGGGGTGTAGCTCAGTGGTAGAGCACATGCTTTGCATATGTGAGGCCCCGGGGTTTGATCCCCAGCACCTCCAGGGATGCTTACCCTTTCTTGGAAGGAAGGTTGGGCAATCTACTTCCGTAGAGATACTGCTTCGGAAACCCAAGGAGGGGTCGCTATGAATCGGGTCTGACTCGAGGGCATATAACAACAGCAACAACCTCTCTGAGCTTTCACCTTTATTCATTCAACACATCAGCTTGTATTTGACTTTGCATGTTTTTTAAGATCCCATTTGAAAAGCAGCCAAATCTGTATAAATTGTCGATCATTTAACCTTATCTGTACACAACCTGCTTTTCCGTTTTAGTTGTTTATATCATTGTGTTATTACCAATGGAAGAGATAAGGAACATTTGTGCATGGAGTTCCTTTTATATTCTTTTCACTAAAGAGCTATTTCACACCAAGGAATTTTTATGTTGTTTTTTCAAATAAGATTATGAATGGATTCATTGTTCTCTTCTTTTCCTAGAAATCTGCAAGGTTGATCATCTGTATGGTCACTTGGAAAATCAAGGAATGCTGGACAGTATCGAACAATACCGTGAACATAGTGCATTTGGAAATGTTGTGCATCATTTTCCTTTCAGACAAAATCATGATATGTTTGAATTATATATAAAAACTTTGAAATCAAATTTAAGTGTGGCCAACCAGAACAAAAGCTATGAAATTAAGAACTCTGCTAAATTTAATGGAGGTGGTAAATCATTTCTGCATAGTAGTCATGAACAATTTCATTCTGAAGTTAAATTCTCTTTAAGTACAAAACCTATCAGTACTACGTCCCAAGTAATTAATCATCAGAGTCTTCAAAAAACAGAGAAAAGCCACATTTGCAGCGAATGTGGGAAGGCTTTCATGAAAAAGTCTCAGCTCATTGATCACCAGAGAGTTCATACAGGAGAGAAACCTTATGGCTGCAGCACTTGTGGGAAAGCATTCTCCAGAAAGTCTAGGCTAAATGAACATCAGAGAATTCATAAAATAGAGAAATCTTACATATGCAGTGACTGTGGAAAAGTCTTCCCCATAAAGAGCCGTCTGATTGAACATCAACGAACACATACTGGAGAGAAACCCTTTATATGCAACGTATGTGGAAAGGGCTTCCCCGGGAAGCGTAATCTTGTCATACATCAGCGCACTCATACAGGAGAGAAATGCTATGTATGTAGTGAATGTGGAAAAGGCTTTACTGGGAAAAGCATGCTCATTATACATCAGCGAAGTCATACTGGAGAGAAACCCTTTATATGCAGTGCTTGTGGGAAAGGCTTCACCACAAAGCACTATGTCATCATACATCAGCGTAACCACACAGGAGAGAAACCCTATATATGCAATGATTGTGGAAAAGGCTTCACCATGAAGAGCCGTCTGAATGAACATCACCGAACTCACACAGGAGAGAAACCCTATGTGTGCAACGTATGTGGGAAAGGCTTTCCCAGGAGGAGTAATCTCATCATACATCAGCGAAACCATGGAGTAGAGAAATCCTATCTGTGCAGTGAGTGTGGAAAAGGCTTCACTGTGAAAAGCATGCTCATCATACATCAGCGAAGTCATACTGGAGAGAAACCCTACATATGTACTGAATGCGGAAAAGGCTTCCCCCTGAAGAGTCGTCTGATCGTACATAAGCGAACTCATACTGGTGAGAAACCCTACAAATGTAATGAATGTGGGAAAGGTTTCATCGTGAATAGTGGACTGATGTTACATCAACGAACTCATACTGGAGAGAAACCCTACGTATGCAATGAATGTGGAAAAACTTTTGCCTACAAGAGCAATCTCATTGTACACCAGCGAACTCACACTGGAGAGAAACCTTTTATGTGCAGTGACTGTGGGAAAGGTTTCACTATGAAACGCTATGTCATCATACATCAGCAAACTCATACAGCAGAAAGACCCCATATGTGCAGTGAATGTGGAAAAGGCTTTACCACGAAGAGTGAACTCATTGACCATCAACAGATTCATACTGGAGAGAAACCCTATGAATGCAAAGAATGTGGGAAAGGCTTCACCGTAAAAAGCCGGCTAATTGTACATCAGCGAACTCACACTGGGGAGAAACCCTTTATATGCAGTGTTTGTGGAAAAGGCTTCTCCTCAAAGAGAAATCTACTTGTACATCAGCGAACTCATAACGGAGAGAAACCCTAATAATGCAATACATGTTGTAGAGCCTTCTGGAAGAAAATGTGCCTGATACAACATCAGAGATTTCATGTAGGATAGACTTCCTTTGTATGCACTGAGTGTGGCAAATCATATAAGCACAAAATTGGTCTGATTACCCATCAGGCACTTAACACAGGAGATAGACTGTATGAATGCATTTAAGGTGAGAGCCTTCACCATGAATTCAGCACTTGGTGTATATCAGAGACCTCAAAAGAAAGACCCTATGGACCCAGCTGTTGTAATCTTTCATTTGTCAAGCTTTATTAAAAAGAAGATGGTGCACACTAGAGAAAAGTATAAGTTCAGTCAGAATCAGGGTTTTTAAACTGGCTTGAAACAGTTAAGTCATTGCCAATGGAAACAGTCAGTGAAGCGCTGCATAGCAACCAAATCTCTTGCGTGTTGGCCTGTGTGGGAAACAGACAATGGTTCTCCATTCAAGATGCCAGCCGAATGACACATTCGAAGCAGCACGGTTTGCTGCCATCATCATAACTGTCAGAAACTTAATCCAGATTTAGAAGTGATATCACTGCTTTAGTCTGATGGATCTTGGCTGAAAGCAGAGACTACCAGAAAGATGTTTACCTGTGTTTTATTGACTATGCAAAGGTATTCCACTGTGTGGATCTTAACAAATCATAGATAACATTTTGAAGAATGGGAATTCCAGAACCTTAATTGTGCTCACTGGAACCTGTGTTATAGATCAAGAGGCAGTCATCTGAACAAAATACGGGGTATAAAGTCAGGAAAGGTGTGCATCAGGGTTGTATTCTTTCACCATACTTATTCAGTCTGTATGCTGAGGAAATAATCCAAGAAGCTGGACTATACGAAGAATGAGGCATCATGATTGGAGGAAGACTCATTAGCAACTTGCAATATGAAGACAACACAGCTTTGCATGCCGAAAGTGAAAAGGACTTTAAGCACTTACCAATGAAAATCAAAGACTACAGCCTTCAGTATGGATTACACTCAAGATAAAACAAGAATCCTCACAACTGGACCAATGAGCAACATGATAATATATGGAGAAAGATTGAAGTTGCTGAGGAATTCATTTTTCTTGGATACACTCAGTGCCCAAGGAATCAGCAAAGAAATCAACCTATTGCACTGGGCAAAAGACCTTTTTAAAGTCTTAAAAAGTATAGATGGCACTTTGAGGACTAAGGTACTCCTCACCCAAACCGTGGTGCTTTCACTTGCCTCATATGGATGCAGAACCTGATCAATGAAAAAGGAAGATTGAATTGGCATCTTTGAATTATGGTGTTGGTGAAGAATACTGAATATACCATGGACTGCCAGAAGAACAAACAAATCCGTCTTGGAAGAAGTACAGTCAGAATGCTCCTTAGAAGTGCGGATGGGGAGACTTCATCTCACATACTGTGGACATTACCGGGAGGGACCAGTCCCTGGAGAAGGACATCACGTTGGTAGAGGGTCAGTGAAGAAGAGGAAGATTGTTGATGAGATGGATACAGAGGCTTCAACAATAAGCTCAAACATAAAAATGATTGTGAGGATGGTGCAATAGTGGGCAGTGTTTCATAATATTGTACACAGGGTCTCTGAGTCAGAGCAAGCTTGATGGCACCTAAGAAGAAGGTAAATCCTCTACCACCACACTTTCATAAAAATAACTAACATCTAAATGTGCTCTTTATACTTTTTTAATTGGAACTGTAGAAAGTATGGGAGCTCTAGTGGCATAGTGCCTAAGGCGTTCTGACTGCTAACCAGAAGGTTGGCGGTTCAAACCCACCCATCACTCCTCAGAAGGAAAACTGAGCAATCTACTTCTGTAGAGAGACCGTCTTGGAAACCCAAGGAGGGGTCGCTATGAGTCGGGACTGACTCAATGGCAGTGAGTGATAGAAAGTATAATTGCAGTATTTTATAATTTAATATTCTCAAATGCCCCTCTGTCATATATTTTTTTTAAGGAAACATGTTTGCATCATCTCATCCTCTTCCCCCTAAAGGTAATTCTGTATCCAGCTCCACTTGGCCACTAAGATTTATGGACTGCCCCCAATGTAGTTTCCTGAGTGGGGCATAGGGCTTTCTCTGAGCTACTAACCTAAAAGTTGGTGGTTCAAACCCACCCAGCAGCCCCAAGGAAGAAAAGCTAGGTGATCTGTTTATGTCCATAAAGATTACAGTCATGAAGACTCTATGGCGCAATTTTACATTCTAAGACATGGCATCACCATGAGTCACAATAGACTCCATGGCAACAGATCTGTTTTTTTGGTTGGCTTCCAGCATTGACTCCGACATTTAAACAGGTGTGTGACTTACTACTAGCCTACTTCATTCCCTGTTCCCCAAGCCAAACCTAAGACTGCAGGCGTCCAATGGTTTTGTCAGCGTTGTAAGGGCAGCCTCCTTAGTAACGCCTTCAGTTCTACAAACCTTTTTTATGCTCCAAAATCGCCTCTAGGCAGAAGCTCTGAGTGGTCTTGAGTTCCCCAAGAGCGCTTGTGTGCCCTGAGGACGAGATAGCCGCTCTCCCGCTGCCTCAGCTTAATGTCTCAGATCTAACGTGTATAAAGGTCGTCGCCGTTTGTCTTTTTACTTCAGTTGGCGGCCTGCCTGCAGCCCACACCACATTAGCCTTAGACAGGCAGGGGTCTCTGAAAACCTACGAATTTAGCACAGCCTTGTTGACCTTTGCGAAGACCAGAAAAAAGTACCGTGATAGCCAGCGAAGCTTTCAACTTCTGCCCATCGCGCTGTTACGGCCGCAGACGTCAGATACGCCTGGGTGGGCGTGGCTACTTACATCATAAAACGGGGACTAGGACTTCCGGTATTTCTCTCTGGACGCTCCTCACCTAGCGTCTTGGCGTTCCTGAAGAAAGCCTAAGAGGGCTTGCGACCTGAGGGCGCCGGATTCGAAAGTGATTTTGGACGTGAGTTAAGCCTTTTCCCGCTGCTTGTGGAGAGATCCAGGGCCCGGTAAGTCGTGTTCTGTGCGTGAGTCTGAATGAGGCGTGAGCGTGTGTGAAGGACGATAGTTCATCTGGGTTCGCCATTGGCGAACTTTGGCGTTAGGCATGGGGATCTGGCGGTCCATGAATAACAGGCTGAAAAAAAAATAAATAACGATCGAACGTCCCACCGCCAGAAGGTGGGCTCTGTGTGCATTACTCTACTTTTGGGGTTTGGTGGTTGGAAAGTAGGGTGGAAGGTGTGTGTCGGTGAACGCCATGTCTCCTTCTTAATGTGAGACTTGTTAAGCTTGTGTGGGAAGATGTTCTAGCTGGTGTCTGGGGTACCTTTGGGATTTAATACGAGGCTCAGTCATTGAGACACCTGGTGAGTGGCTTCAGTGTTTGTGGAAGCCCAGAGCCTAAAAAGTCGGTGTTTCGGGCTCCAAAGCTTGGATGCTGGGAACTGACAGGGAAAACACTGCATTTCCTCAGCCCATCCACATCCCTTTCATTCCAAGTTAAAGTCTGTCCTCGCGGATTTTTTGCCTCCTCGTCACCACTGTTCTCATTGTTGGTATAAAATTCACTGTGATGTAGTGATATGTTTACTATTAAATAGCAGATTTTGTTTTTCCTGCTTCCAATTTTACTGTATTTCTGGATATTTCCTTTTAGGATTATTGAGCTACAAGGAGAGGAATTTCCATCACCCTGTACTCTTGCCCCTTGCCCCCGGGAGCCCCGGTGGCGTAGTGCCTTAGGCACTGGACTGCTAACCAGAAGGCAGGCGGTTCAAACCCACCAGCCACTCCCCGGAAGGAAGGTTGGGCAGTCTACTTTGTTTTTTGTTATGCGCTTTTTTTCCAGTTGAGATAATCTGTGTTAAAAGGTGCAGTTGATTGTGTCACTTTATTTCTCATCCTCAGCACATTTGCATATAAAACGATACTAATACATTTTTTAATAGTTGCAATAATGTCAACCCAGGTGAGCATTCAATTATAACTTTCAGAAACATGATTCTCTTGATTATCCATGTTTTCCCACCTTAATTTAGTATTTGCTTTTTTTCTTATGTATTCTAGATATTTGTTACATTTATTCCGTGATGTTTATATGTTATTTTCCAATCATGGTGCTTTTTCCTTCTAAGTCTTGTACTGCAGAAAAGCATCTTTTTGTTTGTTTGTTTGTTTCGTTGCGGTTTAATTTACTTATCATAATAGCATAGTGGCTAAGACACTTGCCTGCTAACCAGAAGGCTGGCGGTTCAAACCCACCAACCACTCCT